GGTGGATGTCCGTGTCCAGGGGCCGCCCCCACCCGACGGTGGCGATGGTGCTGACGCAGCACGGGCGGCGGCTTCTTCATGGTCTTCGTGGCCCTCAGTGCCGCCCGAGCGGCCGTCAGGGTGGCCTCCGCCGACACGTGGGCCTCCTGCCTGAGCATGTGGTACGCGAGGCAGGCGACCGCGATGGACTCGGCGCACTCGTTGGACTGGTCGATAAGCCCGAGCTTCGCGAACTCGGTGGAGAGAGGGGCCGCACCGCAAGCACGCCCCACAGCAAGCGCCAGTGGCGCGCAGACGAGGTAGTGGCACATCTTGTCTTGGCCGTTTGCGCAGCCGAAGATGCACAGGCGCCTACCGCACGGGTAGGCGATGCGGTAGGACGTGAGCCACGAAAAGGACAGCGTCCTCATCCACGCTGTCGCCCACGAAGGGGGCAGCCTATTCATGGCAGTCTGGATGTCGTGCATGATGGTGGGGTTGTGGATGAAGAGCTCGTTAGCGTGTGGGAGCTCTGTCACGATGCGGTCCTGCAGGAAGGGCCCGATGCCGTCGGCCCCGCGGGTGGTCAAGGCCGAGGCGTAGGCATGCTTCTGCGCATGGCCAGGCTGCTCGTTGGCGACCGCCGCCCGCGCGGCCTCGATCGCTGGCGCCACCAGCTGGTGGGGGTAGTACACGTGGTCAGAGGTGGCTGTCGCGATCTGGTGCATCGTCTCTACGAAGGCCTGCGTCTGCCACCGCGGCGGTGAGAGATGGAGGGCACCCCGCGCGGCACCCTCGAGGGTCTGCTGGAGGCCGTAGAAGTTCAAACCTGCGTGCAGTCTCTCACGGATCTCGGTGAACTTCTTGAACGTCGAGGTCACCGCGCGGACGATTGCCGCTAGCATGCTGAGCTGGAGCGACCTCGGCGCGGGGACCCCCCAGTCCTTCAGGAAGGACCAGTCCTTCAACCTGAATGCGCCGTTCGGGAAGCGCAGGATGGAGGCGTTGATCCAGCTCTCATGCTTGAAGTGCTCGTGCGGGAGCAAGGCGCACTGGGCAAGGTAGCCGAGGACGGGGAGCGCGCGCCCGTTGTACAGGGAGACTGCCCCGACGGCTGGCGCATCACTTGCACTGCACGCCCTGACTCGGGAGCGGTACTTGTTGAAGGCCTTCGCGTAAATGAGCTGGTCCGTGGCACCAGGGCCCAGCAAGAGGCCGAGGTAGGTGAGGCGGTCGCATATGTTGAAGTCCTTGAACTTCGGGACGATGTCGAGCAGCGCATTCTTGAGCTTGAGGATGAGGTCGGCGTTGGCCTGGCCTGCCAAGGGGATGATGTGGCACTTCGGCGCCTTCAACTCCAGACCAGCCAGGATTTCCATGCAGAGCATGACGTCGGCGAGGTAGACCAGGTAGGCGGCGGCCCGAAGGACGAGCCCGAGGTCATCAGCGCATGCGCAGCACAGTCCACGGCCTTGGGCTTCGAGGACGGTCTCGAGGTTGAGGAGGAAGCTTGCAGTGCCCAGTGCGCACAGCGTGCCGCTCCAGCCGCATCCTTGGATGATGCCCGACCTGCTATAGAAGAGCGGGACGTACTGGCCAGCGCACGGGGCCATCGCGAGGATGTTGTTGCACATGGAGTCGAAGAACATGAGGATCGCTTCGGGAGCGCCCATGGCCTTGAGCGCCAGACGGATGAACTGGTGGGCGAAGCTGGGGAAGGCCTGCGCGATGTCCAGCGACACGAGCACTGGCAGCATGTCCTGGGCGTCTGGGTCGGCCGAGGCAATGCGGCTCTCGGCGTCAAGCTCGAGGATGTTGTAACCGAAGTTACGCCGATGGATGAACCCACGCTGTGAGGCTGGGACCACCTCGGCTGCCACCACTGCCGTCGCAGCATTCATCGTGCTGCTGATTATCTTGAGGGACGTGTTGCGCAATCCTAGGACACGGACTTCGGACGGGTCTCGATGGCAGCCGTGATGTTCCGAGTCCTCTGGTTCCTCACCTTTGGGCAAGAAAGCTTGGACGGTCGCGTTCACTTCGTCGGGGAGGATCCCGCCGTTGAGCATGTAGCACATGACATCCCAGAGAACCTCGGTGCACTTCTCGTGCGCGGACCAGGCGAGATACGGCAGTCCGTCAAGGCCTGGTGAAGTGGAAGACGAGCGCCTGGCAAACTTCTTGAGCGTCTCGTAGTCTGGCGGCCTGTACTTGGAGAAATCGATGGTGGGCGAGAACTGGTTCAGGTAGACGGCGGCCTTGGTCACGCCGACGGTCTTGCCCGCGAAGACCGGCTGCCAGTGCTCAACAAGCTTCTTGAGCCGCTCGTTGGGGCCCGTCACGGTGCCCTCGCTGGTCTTGACTCCCGTCAGGATCAGGCGCTTGCTGAGTGGGTTCCAGAGCTGGAGCTTCCTTTGCAGGGCTTGGGTTTGTCCACGTGCTTGAGCGGGTCGGAGGCGCCCACGTTGAACTGCTTGGTCGATAGCTGCCTGACGCTGTTCAGCGTCTTGGCGGAAGAGGTTGCTTGCCCACTCCTCGAACTTTGCATGATCGATGAGCCCGACGCTGTCACCATTGATCTGGATGTGTTCTTGTGCGACTAGGTGCGAGCGAAGGAGGCGAGCGGCGAGTTGTCGGTCTTGGCGCCAAACCGCACGTGAGATCGACTTCGCTACCTGAAGGAGCACGTCGCCTCTGCTCGGATGCATTTCATGAATACGGTCACGAGCTTCACGTGCAATTTGTCTGAGAAGATCGGTGGTCTGAATCAGCTTGGTCGGCGGGGACAGGTTGTCCATGGGGGAGGCGGCAAACACCTTGTCTGCAATCTCTTTGAAGACGGGGCGATCGGCTGGTTCGGCGAGGGTTTGGCATCGCGCATCGTGAAGGAGACGAAGAGGGCGGCATGGTCACTGACACGACGGCGTGAGAGGTCTTCAGGTGTGGAAAAGGTGGAGGACGTGACAGCCAGCTGCAGCATCTGAGTGGGAGTGAACGAGCAGAAGCATCTGTCGATGGTGGTCTCGGCCTTCGTCTCGGAGCAGTAGTGCGTGGTGTCGGCGCTG